TCCTTCATGTGCAGTCTGATCACCTTATTAAACTTCACCCAGTCGTGGTCACTCAACAACGAGTAACGGTCCTTAGGCGTAGCAATAATTCATACTTAATCCCTTGATTACAACAGCAAAGGCCAGCAGTAACAACAGTAGGCCAAAAGTGAATGCCGTGGCATCTAGCAACAGTCCAGCAACAATGGTAGTCCGCACTTCGCAGTCCACAACTCTGCAGCCCACAGTCCACAGTCCACGCAGTCCTGTAGCCCACAATCCACAGTCCCGCACAACCAACAAAGGCAACCCGTGCCTAGTCTATAGCGATAGCAACAATTTTGCTGTAGTAGACACATAATCAACAAACTTTTCCGACAGCACCTCTGAAAAAAAAAAAAAAAAAAAGGACAAACGGATTACCCAGCCGGTAACTGCCGTGCTAATCACAAGTCAACAACAGGTTTCATGCAGCAACAACACCCCGCACAACATATGGCAGCCACTTGGGTGACCAGCCGTGACCGACAACGGCCTCTTGGTAATCCGACAAGGGTTACAGCAGAAGTCCGGCTGGAGCAGACAGCGAAAACTCCCGGTAACAGGGTATCGACCACAGGTAGGCCCGCAGATCCGCCACCTTCCTTCTCGCCGCAAGCCGTCAAGGAGATTGGGCTGTACTCAGATTCGCAGACCAACTCTCCTACCGGGTTCATACCTCCCGACTCGGCAGGATCAACAAACCGTTAGCCAGGAAATGAGCTCCTGGACTCCGCGGCCCAGCCACAACTGCTCCGCTTAGTCTACTGCTGTCCCGAGCCCCTTCTTCGATCCCAGGTATGCCCTGGCCAGGTAAGTGTGCAGCGCCCCGTACGCACGCCCTCCCCTTGGCTGTCACCATAGCCCGGCTCCGACTCCTCCCGTACGACAACTTCTCAAGGTAGCTCTTCCTGCACGGATCGACAAGGTGAGCGGGTCACCTGCTAATCGGCAGACCCTTCCCCCTCTCGGTTACCAATAGTACGACGAGCAAACCCGAGTGAACCTCTCACTAAAACCCAGTCAGGTACACGAATTACCGTGCCTATGTTCGGGGAGAAGGGGGAGGGTTGTCTATTGCTAAGCGAAACCGCGCACCGGCTAACAGATAAGTCTCCGCTCTCGCCGTACGTCTTCTCCTCCTCGAACGCACCAGGCGCTGAACCCGGCCAGGTTCATTCCCTCCCGTTATCCCCCTCTTTGACACTTCATTCCTCTTAGTTTCGCGCTGCGGTTTCCTTGCGAACTCCTCCTACACTAACCCTCCATCTAATCTAACTTTAGAGACGGCTTCGCCCGCCATCAGAACCCCGACTTAGGTACTTACTTGGCTTGATTCTGTTAAGACCGAGTGCACCACGCACTCTCCTGTCCGCCATAGTCGTTCTCCCCGACTTCTGTTCCTAAACGAATTTGGCGCAGAAACGCGCCCGGATTCGCCCCTCTTGTCCACTCTGTGATTCGGCCCGCTGTTGCACCCCGCTACCCATCTTCGATGTTTGCACGGCGCCTCGTTGCCCCGGCGTTTTCACCACCTCCGCCTGCTCCTGGCACCAACCCCCTTTTCGATTCACTCACTGCCTCAACACTCCCTCCCTTTCTTTCCTACACCCCGTCACCCCTTACTACTCTCTCTCCTCCCTGGCGCTCCGACCATCGTCCCTCCTGCCCTGCGCTGCCCCGCTGCTCGATGCTCCTCTCCTTGACACACTGCTACCCATCGCCTACCTCCGTCGTCGCTTGCTCCGATCGTTGTTGCCGCTGGCCCTTTCGTGCGTGCACCTGGCGCGATTCGCCGTCCATGTCCATTCACCCGTTGTCCCACCTGCCACGCCCTAGTGCCCACTACGGCTACTTAGCGCAGCTCAACCGGCTGCAGGGACTCCACAACACCCATTCGTGCTCAGTGCAACCCAATACACATCTCCCCTCTAAGCACACTGCCATACTGCCTGTTGTTGCGCCCGTTGCTACAACTTTCCACCTCAGCGCCCAGGCCATCGCCCCCCCTGTCGTAGCTCTGCCCCCGACATTCGTTAGTGCAGCCAGGCCCTCGGTCATACCGCATATCCCCTTGCACAATGCGCCGAGGTAGCGCTTTCGCATGGCTTTTCGCGGGAGTCAATGGAGGGCTGGCGCTGTTCCTTGATTTATACTTCAAGAAAACTCGTTGGTCTACCCTTTTTCTACCGACCCTCAGGGCTCTTCAGACATTGACACGGTACCGCATCCCAAAATAGGACGGGACCGCCAATATCCGTGGGAAAGATAAATAATAAAATAAAATAAAACTAAAATAAATGAGTAAATAAATAAATAAATAAAATAAAACGAACACCAGAAAGGAACGGGGGAGCTACTGGCACCTCGCCAGTGCCGCAGGTTGGACCCGTCATTGCTTCCACTGGCAAAAGGCAAAAGGGATGGTCCCACAAGCCCATCAACCCCTCGAGCCTTTCCTTCGCTCCTCCGATGCACGCTGTTGGCCTTGATCCCTGCACCTGCTGCGTACAGTCCAATGCTCTAACCTATAGGGCTAAGCCCAAGCCTGGTATTAGCAGGCCTAATCCACCTAATGAAGAGGTAGCCTCCAACCCTTTGGGGCCAAAGGAGCCACCCCGTACCATCTCGTAGCCCGTACTCACACCCATGGCCATAAAAGGCCGCAGCAACCACCTGGCCGTGCCGCGGATACCCTTTCCCGACCGAATCCATCAGGTCCCATCATCTAGATTCTGCGTAAGTCCACACAGGCTTACCAAACCCTCCAACGTACCACACGGAACCGGAGGAAAGGACGTCCCTAAGTTAGTTAACTTAATCAAAACAACCAACTGTCGTAAAATGACACGTCGGCCGAAATTCATGCCACGTTTTCTGTCGCAACCAAAGAGGGGAAGGATCACGTGCGCCTCAAACATGCGCGCCCACACACTTTATTCTAGCCGACCTTCAGCTAGCATAAATCACTGCCGCTGCCGCGCCCCGCGCAGTATACTTTATACTAGACTTATTTTCTGTCACTTGCAAAAACCACGACGGATAACCTTGTAAGGGTATTCGCACCGACAGCTTACCGGACCATATTAAGCGACATCCCTGTCGCTTTGCAGGATCAAAAACTATCAATTCAATCATGACCCCAAAGTGCCGACGAGCAGGGTACCAATCCGATTGGCCGACAGACCCACGGTTGAGGCCTCCAATAATCCATGCCAAACACAACTTTATGCTGCCAGGATTTTAACCTGTGTCTCCGCCGCCCGGGCAGTTGGACATCGGGGTACTCCTCATTGTACTACAGCATAAGTTTCATTGGATCTCTCACTGTCCTCTTCCTTGTGCCCTAGACAACCGCCGGCTCCTCATTGTGTGCCCCCAACCCTTCCCCTGAAACCAAGGTCGTGACTAGGGGCGCGGGCCCTAACCGAGACCTTTGAAGGCATTCTCTCGCCTCCCTTAAAAAAACTTCCCATTAAGCACATATAAATATACCATATAAATCTTCACATAAACCTCCCTGTAGTCTAATACAGGAGGACTAGGTCTCCATCTTGGCCCACCATAGTCTGGGTGATCATTCCAGATCTACGACCCACCGCATTGTTATTTTCAGTGGTAGTGCCTTCGCGGGTTGCGCCACGATAGGCTGTTCCTGATAAGCATTCAATCAGGACTCCCTAAAAAAAACTCATATGACTCGACTCTTATCCCACGCCTCTCCGCAGGAGTAAAGCCCTCCTAGGCGTTCACGCCCCTTTAAGTCTTTAGTCCTTTGGCCAGACGCAGACCCTCTACTCAGGTTGTGCCAAACAACGGCCAACACTAAGGGTTGCGCCTTAGTGATGCTAGTTATACCCCTAGCTGGGTCTCTTATAAATGTCCAAAATTAGCACAAGCGGCCGGACGGTGTGTCGCAACAATACAAGTCTACTGCGGGACTACGCATAGACCTGTCGCACATAAAGGTATTTACCGGTCCCTCTGTGAGATAACACAGAGGAAGCCCGACAACCTCTCCATAATCACAAAACAGAATCACCGCCTGGTTCACAAGGTTGTGACCTCCCAGCTTGATCAGAGCAAGAAAGCCACACATCTTGATGACATCTCTTAAAATGCACCGTTGGCGACATCCACAAATTCCACCAATAGTCAACCAAAACTTGGTCCCTCTCGTCATTCTTTCATTACTCAAAATCAATCTTTAAATTATCGAACTTATTAACCACCTCGTATATCGGGTAAGTCTCACTTCAATAGGTCTCCCAACCATCCCTCTCTTTTTAGGATGGACTCTCTCACGACCTTTTCTTCAACATATCTTCCCTTTTTGAAGATTGAGTTATTTAATCAAACAATGAACTACCTTCCCATTCAGAGGTGTCCCAATCATAATACAACTCATATAAGGAGATCAACTCCTGGGTCTTTTGCACAATTCAAACAATAAACCATTCATTATGAAAATTCGAGATCTTCACATTTCTTTTTCACAAATACGAACTGCGCTGCCTCCAATTATACCCTGCCTTATCTTTTGCCCAAGGGCAGATCGCATAAGTATACCGAGGAGTAGACAGTTTGCTTACAATCACATTCACAATATACATAGCAAAATGAGATGTTTCTCACACATTGTCCACACAAACCCATCATACATCAGAGTACAACCACACATGTGAGAGAGACAAATGATCGTCACATATAAGAATGGTCCCTAAAAAACCTCATCATAATATACACTCAAGGAAAATGTCTCACACAGAAAATGTCTCCAAATCATAGCTCACTCAACTCAAGCCACACCAAACTCATACTGACAACTATCCCTAAAAAAACATGTCAGATCTGTCTCTCAAAGACTAGGGTGTAGGCCACCTAAATATATACGTGCCTCATCTAGATCACCCTGATCCTCAAGACCCCAGCTCAGTAGGAACACAAGAGTTCAAATCTAGACTAAAACAATTATCAAAAGGTCATCTAAGTCTAAGAGGGTATCACACAAAGCCTAAGCTGATGCTTCACAAGATATTCAATCAATTACATAGGCAAACCGACCCTACCTTCTCAACTCCTCCTGTTTTTTCTTATATAACTGAGCCCTAAGTCCATCTGCGGACTTCTCTACTATCCTACCCTGTCTATCATACATCTTACCCCCTGCCTTTGAGACCTTCCCTTCTGCCTTATCCTCAAGGAACTCGCGACATTCCAGAGCCTGATTCATGCGCCTCTTGCAGTAAAAGCATAACTGACCAACCTTCCTTTTGAACTTCTTTTTCCTGGGCTGAGGAGGTGGCGATGAAGGAGATCCTACCATAGTACTGACAACCCCCTGCTGCTCTGATCGAGCACCTGCGGTACTAACAACCTCCTGCTGCTCTATCTCAGGAACCGGTCCCCCAGACCCAGATCCAATAGCCCAAGATCCCAGTCTGCTCCTCAAATCCCCTGTCGCTGGGACGTACTCAGGCGTGTCCAACCTCTGGAGTCTCCTCTCGAGCATCTCTCCTGGCACCACCATGGGCTGCTCCTCGATCCCCTCTGGCTCATACTCAGGCGTGCCCAACCTCTGTAGCCTGCCCTTGAGGACGCCCTCCGCCTCAATCCCCATCTCTCTCTCAAGAGGCTCCTCTATCCTCTGCTTGGGTGAAAACAAACTCGCCTCCTCCTGCATAGTATGCACCACCTCAAGGAACACGCCCATGGATCCCTCTGCTGAGCCCTGAGCTGGCTCACTGCTAGATGGTGGTAGCCCCTCCTCAACTGCCAAAGGTACGACTGGGCCCGCCGCTGCTACAGGCAGTGTCGCGAGCTCGGTAGGGGCTCTGAACTCAAAGGCCTTTCTCTCCGCCTGTCCTTGGGCTCTCGCCTCCTCTGGCTCCAGGATAACCCTCCCCATAAGTGGCTCCTGGCGAGGCTCTGCTGCAGATGGTTGTCCTGGTAACCCATGTCCTGGCTGCCTCTGCTCTCCCTGCCGGCTGCTCTCTGGCTTGTCCATCTTTCCCTAGGTTTGCTGCTGCCTCAAACTCTCGATGATAGCTGCCTGACTGGCCACCAGTGCCTTGAGTTCCTGGATTTCCACCTCCATAGCCTCCAGGCGTACTCCATGACCTTCTCCCTTCGTCTTCTTCCCTACCAGATCACTCTCCAATAACAAGTGTCAATCAAAAGTTGTCTTGGCCAGGAACTTGAGTTTACGATCCAGCCTCTCTTCCGCCTTTCTCGCTATTCCAAACCCGACTCTGATTGGCGAGGGAAGCTTCTCTCCTCTCTGCTCCCAGAAGTCCCTCCACATCTCTGGGATTTCCGGGGCCTTAGCTGGCGTGCTGGGTGGCTGACCTGGAAGTGTCCCTGCTGTTTCCAATCTCCGCCTCTCCTGCTGCTGCTCCGGAAGCTCCCCCGCTGCCTCCAACCTCTGCCTCTCTTGCCATATCTCGTCTATCCTCCGAGTTCTTCTCGCCCTCTTTTCTTCAGCCGTCTCTCCTGCTGGCGCCCTTTCCCTCGTGCGGAGGTCGACCCTCTTTGGGATCTCTGCCTCCACCTTCTGCTCTGGTTGGCACGGCTCTTGGCGCGGCTCTGCAGGTGTTGGCTCCTCCAGGTCTGGGTGCTCCAGGGCATGAGCTGCTAGATGCCTATCAATCAGGGTCAAGGCTTCTCTTCTTACAACTGTCTTTCTCTCATCATTTCTGCCCTCTCTTCTGGCAAAGGAGCCTTCCCTGATGAAGGCAACGGGGCCTCCTCTCTCTACAATCCCTCTGTTGCCTGGCAAGCGCTCCCGGGTGCACCCCCGAGTCTCAAACCTACCGCTGGTGTCTGAGGGGGCGTGTCCTCTCCAACCCCTATAACTTCCTTCCCTGCACTTCTCCCCTCGTCGCCCTGACCCCTCTCTCGCTGAGTATCCTGGACGTTCTCCCGTGGCATCCCCTCTCGTGGCACCTCCTCTTGTGGCACCTCTTCTGCCTGCTCTCCATGCTCCTCACCCTGAGGCGACGCTCTCATCTGAGAGATATCCAAATGCGCCTCCAACTCCCTCAAGGGCCCCTCAGATGCTGGCGTCTCCTCCTGCGTGCGTGCTGGCGACCTCCTCAATCCACCCTCGGTAAACCGGTGGAACTCCACTGGTCCCAACCCACACTCAGGGTACGCCCCTCGCTCCTCAGCCTCTGGTTCCGGCCCCGGTTCCTCCTCTCTCCTGGCTAGGGCCTTCCGTCCTCTTCGAGATGGTCTCGCCTCCCTAGGCTCAGGGTCCCTCTGCCTCTAACTCCTCTGACGCCTCTCAACTCTGGGCTGAGGGGGCTCTGACCGTCGAAAGGCCTCTCTCAGATGTGCCCTGCAGCTCTCCCAGTCCCGGGCCATGTCTCTGACCTGCCTAGCCAGTGGTCTCTCCGCCTTTCTGGTCCAGAGGGGTAACGTCCTCGCCCACTCATCTCTCGGTGTACCGTGCCCCTGCATGAACCACTCGAAAGCAGGAATAAAGTTTGCCGCATTTCCGATCTCTAGGCGGATCGGCCTGCCATCTGGTCCCACAGGCGAGGGTCGTAGCTCCTGCATCCTCGACTCCACCTCCTGCCTCGTCGTCGCCTCCCTACGAATCCTCGCGATGGGCTCCTCAAACCTGCCTGCTCCTCTCAGTCTCTCGATCGCCTGGGCCATGGTCCAGCCCCTACGCCTCGCATGCTCCCAGAAACTGTCTAGGAATAGCTCGACGTCCCCATCATCGTACACCGGAGTACTCTGTCGATGGCGAGACCCATGCCGCCCATACCCTCCTGATGCCCCCAACGGCCTCTGAGGCGGCCGTGTCCCCTTCCCTCCTCTTGGCATGGCTGTCTTCGTAAAGTCAGACCTGCACAACAGGCGAAGGAGACAACAGGCACACATTGGGTAAGCATACAAGTGATAATCAAAGCAAGCTCAGACCAGACCACACTCATGCAGCATGCATCCTATCTGACCTACACACCCTATCGCTTCTATTCTAAAGGCAGTCAGATCATCTCTCTTACCTCTTCTCTCGCCACAAATTTCTTCAATCGCGTTCCCGATACCCAATCCTTCCACTCAGTCCCATTTAGCTCCTCAATCTGGTACGCTCCAAAGTCTCCGACCCGTACGATCCGGTAGGGACCTAACCACCTGTTATCGAGTTTCCTGGACCATTGCTTCTCCAAAGATGAATCGTAGAGGAGCACGACATCCCCAACTGCCAAAGGTACTTTCCTCACCCGCGCAGACTGATCCTATCGAGCCTTATCATCCATACGGCTTCTCGCCACCTGATCGGACGCCTCCTGGATCCTTTCTTCTATCGCCCCTATCTGCCGCGCCCGAATATCGAACAACTCTTCAAATGAGAGGCTAACTTTCAGATCCTGGTGCCTCCATGTCTTAAGGAAGCTTTCGATAGGGAAGGTGGCGTGCCTTCCATACCACAGCGTCGCAGGTGCATACTTGGTGGATCTTTTTACCGTAATGTTCTCAACAAAAAACGTCGCTTTTAGGTACCTTGGTCATTGATTAGGCCTACCTTTGGTCCACTTAGCCAGGAGGCTCGTAATGGTACTATGTCCTCTCTCTACGGGAGCATTTGCTTGGGGGTGCGCGACCGTGGTGTAGTTGGCTGCTACACCATACCTTGATAACAATTCTTGCACCTCCTGGCAGGTAAACTCCGATCCCCTGTCCATTACGAATTTCCTGATGAAAGGATAGCGCAGATAATACTTCTAGATGCAGCTCACCAAGACTGACCCGGTCTTTGTGCGAATAACACGCCCGTCTACGAATCCAGACAGGTTATTGCACGCATCGAAGATATAGTTATAGCCCTGATCCCCAAGTGGCATAAAAAGTAGATCGAGATGCACTACAGCCCCCACCTCTCGCTCTAGCCTTGCATGCAGCGGCTCTCCTTGCCTTAAACGGGATCTCTCTTGGCAAGGTATGCAAGATCGGCAGAACTTCCCGACCATGTCCATCATCCCATCCCAGTAGTACAACTCACTTAGCTTGGCATATGTGGCTTGTACCCCTCGATGCTCTCCTGCAATGCCATCGTGAAGCGCTGCTACGACGTCGATCTGACGATTTCTACCGCAGATGACTCTCCTGGGATTCCCCACTTCTCTCCTTACGAAAAGGTGACCGTCTCGCACTAAGTAGCGCTGCAACATCCTCTGGGCCCTATCACTCGCGTCCCTAAGCCGCATTTCGCAAGACAGAAGGAGTCCCAGCTCTAGGTAGATCCCGTCATATTCCTTTGCACGAAAAGCGTCTTTGATCTCACCTTCTTCAAACTCGTCGTCCTGGCTCTCGGACACTTCATCCACATTCCCTGCCGGGTTCAACGAGCCTGATTGGTCGAGGCTTTCCTGCAATAACGTGTTGACGAGGAGATACATTCCCCCCATCAAATCCTCATGTCGTTCTACCTGGCCTGGTCCTCCCTCGATCGTCCTCATGTCCTCCACTAGACTATGCGAACTACCCAGCGATAACTCCATCATCCACTGAACACCCTTACCACCCCAAGGGTCCTCTTCTTCAAAGGGTTTGAGGACTAGCTCGACCCTCCTTTCATATCCACTCGGCGCTTGCCAGATAGGATAGCCTACACAGCTGGGTACTTGCGGCGACCACTTATTAATATGGAGACGAACATCCTCCTCCTAATCCAGAAATCCATCAACTAGGGGCGTGTTCTCCACCGCCTCCCCTTCCTATTTATCCCAGTTGATCCGACTCAACCCGTCTGCCCGGTTCTTACTGCCAGGAATCCACTCCAACTCGAAATTAAACATCCAGATGTACATCAGCCACCTGACAACCGTCGGATCCGATGGAACGTAATTCCTTAGAGAGTAGGTCAGGGCGGTTGGGTCCACTATCAAGATAAACCTCCTGCCGAAGTTGTAGTTCCGGAAGATCCGCAGACAGTGGAGGACGGCAAGAGTCTCCCTCTTGAACTGAGAGTAGTTCCTCTCGGTCGTACAGAGAGTCCGACTCTCAAATCGCAAGGGTCTTTCCTTTCCTTCCATGTCTGCCTGAATTAGAACTCCCCCTAAGGCAGTCAGCCCCGCATCCGTTTCAACGATGAAGGATCGCGTCTCCGTGGCATCATAATCTGGCGCTCCTAACACCAACCTTCCTTCTCGAAATTTCTCCTTCATCCTGGCTACCACCTCTTCCTGCTCTTCACCCCAAACCCATTCCTAGTCCTGGCGAACTAACTTCCTCAAGTGTTCATTCTTAGCGACAAAGTTCTTGACGAAGGCCCTCCAGAATCCACACGTACCAAGGAAACTCCTGACATCAGTTATTGAGTGGAACGAAACTGACCATTCAGTAATCTTGTCCCTCTTCTTCACATCCGGCTTTCGTCCCTTCTCGCTGCAGACGAACCCCAAAATAGTCGCTTCCCTCATGCAGTGTCTGGATTTGGCCCTGCTCGCCGTGAGGTTATGCTCCTCGAGCGGGCTCATGATTTTTTCGAGGTCCTGGATATGCTTCCAAACAAAGCGCCTTACCCCTGGCGAGACTTCGTCGCTTTCCTTCACTGCCGGCCCCTTCACCGCCAAATCATCAATGTATGGCTGTGTGCTATGGGGGCTGACTGACTGCATAGCCCGAATCATGGCCCGTTGGACCATTGCTACCGCGTTGGTCCACCCTTGTGGGGCCACGTTCATGTGGATTAGTCCTCGCGGCGTATGTATAGCCGTCACCGGCCTGTCTGGCGGATAGACCGGGAAATGATCATATCCTGAGTAAAGGTCTATAAGTGAGATTATAGGCCTTCCAGCACAGGACTCCGATAACGCGTCCGCATTGGGCAATCCTCCAACATCCCGCACGGTCACCGCATTCAGCCTCTGCAAATCTTGCACCCACCGCAGCGTCCCGTTAGGCTTGATAAAGTAGAACCACGAGGACGCATACGGTCCACTCGAATAGTCGGCGACGTCCGTACGTATCTTGCCGTCGAGGTAATCCACCACCTGCTTTTCCTCATCAGGATTAGGATATCGCGCCCCTCTCATGTTCCAAGGCTCGTGTGGCACGGTGTGGATGCGGATCATAGGTATCTTGTCCACATCCAGCCTGCCACGCTCCTCGTCACTAACGCATAGGCGCGATGCCTCCTCTTCATCAACTCCACCATCAATATCCGTTCTTGAGGCAGCAGGAAGTCGGACTTCCCTATGATCAATTTCCCCTCATTCCCTTCGTTGATACGACATGGCCCTGCTAGGGCACTCTCCCTCATTCATCGTATCAACCCTCGTTCCCTCTCGTAGTATACTTCCTCGTCCTCTGTAACGAGGACGGGAACCGGACGACACTTCTTGTCTACCGTCTTGTACCGCCTTTGGGAACCCTGCTTGAGCCGTCCTCTAAAAAAGGCTGACTCACAGATTGCGCTTGCGCTGATGCGGGGTTCCTCCTGCCGTCCGGAAGACGGTATACGAGTTTCAACCTCCCCATCTTGGGACATTCCAGGACCTGCTCCCTCAAGGCTTGGATGACATCTGGATCCGCCATCTCATGTGCGGCCACCAAGTCCATGGCCTTTCCGACGTCCGATAGGCTAAGGGAAAACGCTTTCACCTCCTCTTCTCCTTCCGGCTCTGCCCGAAGCCTTCGGCGCTCGCCTTCCGATTCTTCGATCGTAAAGGATCCTGGGTTGGGCTGGTTCCTTATACTTCTCGGTCCTGTATTTCTGCAAGTAATTATCTCGTAATTCCTGCAGGCAGGGTCACATAGGAGGAGGATCAGAGTCCCGTCATGCTTGTTGAACATCACGGTCTCTGTCCTACTCAAGAATGACTTTCCTAGGAGGATTCCATGGTCCACGTCCGGCATTATGAAGAAGCATGCCCTGACCCTCACCTTTCCAACCTCGATGAGCACATTCGAGGCTGTCCCGCAAAACACGGCCTTACAGCTGGCTCCATGCAGAATACCGCAGTCAGAACGGTCTATATCCAACCCGAATTTGATTGCGTCTGCCTCCCAAATAATGTTCATTTCGACCCCGGTGTCCACCATTGCCGCACACTTGGAGCCCTTTACCACCAAATCCACCGTACCGCAGGCCACACACTTCCAATCCATCTTCGTGCCTGATTCTGCCCACTCTGCCTCCTTGGGCAGGATCGTGCCCAGATGGACATTGGGCACCAGGCGCCGTGACAGCCTCCCTTTTAATTCATCGCGGAGTCGCGGGGCTGACGCCAGGATCTCCTTCAGGGTCATGAGACCATTATGCCCTTCCAGCAGCCTGTCGATCACCCTCTCTACATCAAACCCCTCTTCCAACCGAACCGCGTACTTTTTCTTTTTGGGCGGTGCGTCACGCATGACCGACTCGGCCTCTTCCCTGGTCTCTTTCCTCCTTGCCCGCTGCTCCACTCTTTGATCCTCTTATCGGCGCAACCTCTCGTCTTCTTTCTCTTCATCATCGTCATCCTCCACTTCCACGACCTCTTTTTTTTTTCCTGGCTCCGGCTCCCTCCTTGGAGGTTCTTGGTTGGCACTGGCTTTGGCTTCACTTCTCGTTCGTGCTGCCTGCGCCAGCCGTGCYTGCGGAGTGAGGGGTCTCCCCATCATTCCTGATTGTGGGCACGACCCCACCACATTTACTCCGGGTCGCCCGGGCGCTGACTCCGGACCAGAGTCGTAGAGGAACACCTTGGGGATGCTAGACTTCCATTTCCTCACTTCCTCACAGAGGCCCACTAACTTCTGTTGGTATCTCCCCATCTTATCCAGCAGGTCCTCCATTTTTCCCAACAAGACGGATGGAGGTTCCATCCTTTCTTCCTCATTCTCGTCATCTGACTCGATGATTATGGGTTCTTCCCTCTTACTTCCTCCTCGTAGCCCTTGAGTCATTTCCTCATCGCTCCCCACTTCCTCTACCCCAATCGGTGGTTCTTCCTTTTCCTGCCATAACCTGAATTCCTCTATCCCCACCGACGGTCCTTTCTTCTCCTGCCATAGCCTGAACATGGCAGGGGGTGGTGGCCCGACTGCCGCCCTTCGTTGGGCTTCCGCTTTCACTCCTCCAAGCCTTCTGTCAATGACCTCCCCAAACTGATCGTAAAGGTTCCTATCCATAGTGGAGGAAATCAGCCCGCTCCTCTCGTCTTCCCGTCTTATATTACAGAACCTTATAGTGTGACCTTGTTGGTCACAATGTTGGCAGATGGTCGTCCTCCAGTCAAAACGGGGTCTCCCATACCCCTGACTTCCCTGATCCCCCTGGCCTTGAAACCCCTGACCCTGATTCCCTTGGCCTTGGTATCCCTGGCCTTGGTACCCCTGACCTTGATACCCCTGGTCTTGGTTTCCTCGGCCTTGACCATTCCATTGCCCTCCTCTTCCGCCGCCATTCCTGCCTCGCCCACTTCCTCCACTCCTCCCTCCTTTGCCTTGATTGCCCTGCCCCTGGTTCCCACCTCCAGCCACGCTCCCCTGTGAACTGGGAGCGGGTGACGGCGGCGGGGCCACAGGCTGGGACTGGGCTGCGGGGTAGATGGGTGGCGGCATACTTATTTGCAACCCTACTACTGGCGGCGGGCTATCCCATGACACAATCGCGTTGATCACCAACCAGGGCCACTGTCCGTAGGAGGGTGCCCCTCCTTGCGAGGGGCCCGTACTAGATGATGGAGCCACCACATTTAAAGGGGTTGCTGTCAAGGCCTGGGGCGCATGCTCTTTTCCTGATCCCTGCCCGCCCTGCGCCAAGTTACGCACTTTGCGGGCCTTCGTCAGGTGCTGCGGCACTGGCTCTTCCTCTTTCTAGAGCTCCTCCTGAACAGCCTCCTCTATCACCGGCTCCTTTGCTTTCACCTGGACAGCCATCACTACCCTTCTCTGCACCACTGGCTCTGTCGCATACCCCAGCTGCGCCAGTACGCCTGTAACAATCCTTTTTACTCCCGGGGTCCCGGAAGCGGTCGCATCTCTTTCCTTTCTCTTCTGCCTTTGCAGGCGTACCTGACGTTGCTCCACCTGGTCCAAACACCCAACTTCCACCCCTCTGTCAATGGTGGCCCAGGTGAGCTTAGTGCTACCTCCTCCATGTCTCGTCAACTCAACGGCCTCCGATGCCGTGAGTAGCCCTAGGAAGATGGCGCACTGCGCCTCCTCCGAAATCCCATGGACCTTTCGCGCCCTCTTCTTGAATTCATGAACAAAGGCCCCTATCATCGTAAAATCCTCTTGGTTCATTGCCTAAAGGTCCGCAGTGGTCAACAGTCCATCTCCCAGGCGGTACTTCCTCTGCATTCCCTCCTTGAACCTTTCCCAGCTACCTTGGGCCGCATCTGTAACTTTCTTCACTTCTTGGTGGTAGTTGTGAAGGACATACTGAAGGATGCGTTGAAACTTAACAACGCCCGACTGCCCGACCAAAGCTTGTTCCACCCGCTCCAGCCATTCTGAGACTCTCTCTCCACAAAAATGAAAGGTATCGAACTTAGGGATATTGCTCGGGTTCCTTTCATGCCGATCAATGACCGCGATGAGGTCATCGAGCGCCAGGCCCTTCTTGGGACCACCCGATGCGCCGCCGCTCTGCGACATCTTGCCAGATCTTACTCTTCAAGCTTCTTGACAAGAGAAAAAAAACAAGCACATCCCCTTATTCAGCATTACACCTTGACCGGTCTATTTCCATCCTTTCTACCTAACTCTTACTATGTTCTCTTATCTGATGCTAACACGGTCGTTCCTCATAACTTCTTCTAGCTCACGTAGGTAAACTTCCTTACTCATTCTCAATCACCCATTAATTTTCCTTACCTCTCGTCACTCCGTTATGCCTTTTTCTCATTCACTTCTCATACCCGGATGTCGTTCCATCAGGGACAACGGTAGGTTTTCCGTTATCCTCGGCAACGGCGCCACCTGTCGAGCGCATCGGTCCGGCACCGCACCAGGGCAGCGCGGGACCCTCCTGGCCGCGTCACGCAGGAGTTGGTTCAAATCCTTCGTCGCAGATAATACATGTGGAGCTTCCTTAAGCCACTCCGGCCGAGTGCGTCAGCCATACCTCTCGCGAACCCCTACGACAGGATAGGGCCTACACGAGGCACGACTTACCTACACCTTACGGGAACTGTCACCTCCCTTCAGTGGGCGTATCCCCGCCGAGCTATCAGTCCACAGTACGAAAGCTAAATCAGTTGCCATCGCAGAGGTGGACCAGCCGAGGGAGTTTCTCGTTCGCTGTAGCATAGGGGGTACGCGCGGTAATACGCCTCTATCGGGCCCGCACGCAAACCGACAGCTTGGGGGGCTGAAGTCCCAAGCGCGAATCGACGTCGGTCGACTAGGACGCATCCCACACACCACGCGCACACCACTCTAATCAACATAAGACAACAACACACCCACACACACACGAAACGTCACAACGCAAACAACGCGACAACGCTCCTAGCCCCTCGGTAGTCGTCCCATAACTCTCCGATGCGGAAATCGAATAGACGTCGCGCGCGAGACTTTGTATAAAATCGCTCGGACGCAGGGCTGACTTATATCGACTAGCAATGCAATCGTATGCAAGCAGTCGCAATGATGGCGTACTATGTGGTACCTATACTTATGCGGTCCTCGTTAATCCCGAGGGTCACATTCGACACTCAAGTGTTGGCTGACACGCGCCTTGAGGGTTAATCTCTCGATGCTGGACAACCGCCATGCGCGGTTGAGGACCACACACCCTCTTCTGCACCCTTATGCAGAGTGGGTGGTACATAGGTTTTATACTTGTGGTGGTAGCCGTCTCTCGCGACCCTAGGGGTAAGTCCTCCCTGGGCTTGGGCGAAAGTCAAGGGGTTTGACTTTGACGGCTGCCACGGACTACAACGTCCAACCATAAAATCTCTAAAAAACAAAGGATGAAGAATAAGCCGACGGTTTCCCCGTCTAACAATTAAGATCCTAGCCCTGGGGTACCCTCCCCTTTTTGTGCGGTGCTGGCAGCCTATAGTAATCCCAAGCATCGGTCCATATGTGTCGGTCCCTTTTCGATTCCATAACTTTTACACACTAGGGTGGCAAAACGTCGCGTGCGGGATTTTGATATAAAGCCGCGCAACCACGGGCCAATCTCATACCGACCAACAATGCCAACCTTATGTGGTAATCGCGACTCTGGCCTCGCGATATTGAATGGCTGAAGGAATATATAGTGAGGGGTTACCCCACACGATATTGAACGGCTGAAGGACATGCCGTTCGGCCCTCGCGACATTTCCGCCTTCAGGGTGGGTTGCCTCGAAGGGCAAGGCAAATAGGCTTTGCGCGAGGGGAGACCCCTCCCCTACAGAGCTTAGGGCTTTGGGATGTCTTAGACAAGGACCTTGAATCCCGGCCTAGGACCAACGTCCAACTAAGAAAATCCTTGAGAAGCAAAAGCAAAGAAAAGGGGGGGGGGGTCTTCCCTTGGCCTCTCAGTCTTAACTTCTAAGTATGCCCTTTGTACAGGGCCCCTTAGCTTATGCAGACAATTACCCTAGGTACACCCATGTATATATATATATCAAAGGGGGAAGTATGTGACGATCACTTCTCACATTCTCACTGAGGTCCCTCACAATTATACGTATATATGTGATGCCAGACAACCAAATCCAGAATCTGATTCACAACACATACTTGCAATCACATCAACGAGTCAAATCAACAGCCCACGCACTACACGGAGTCAACCTCATCCATCTTCGACACTCATACCCCTCGCTTTAGCCATGCAAGCCCCAAACCTCGTGTCCAACTATCCTTAATTAAATACTCAGCACCTTTGTTAAATGGCCATTCAATAAAAGTCCGGGTGAAATCATAATGAAACAATAAAATTCACCAGGGCTAAAGCTTTTCAGGTTGAGTGTGGAGGGTGAGTTGGAACTGAGTCGTAAACCGACAAATCGACAACCGACCTGTTATCAGTAATAACAGATGATGACCCTCAAGGGATAAAACTGAATCTGGTCCTGAACTTGAATCAATCGATCAAGAGGACCTGTAACACATGACAGGTCAATGTCCCAAGCTAAACCTATAAGTTCATGGAGAACAATCTCCATATCGTGATCTTACCCAAATCCCCCTAGTTAACTACGTCTAAGCCTACCTCTAAGTAATATGGTAAAAATCCTCCTTTAGTCAAAGTGGGTTTATCTAACCTCCACCTGTCAAAACATAATCGAGCTCTTTTAAACTAAGAAAATTTCGGCAGCGTTTCTCGTAGGAAAAGTGTCTTTCCAGAATTTATATAAGTCCATTTATAAAAGTTGAAATAATATCTACCTTTGGAAAGTCAAAGTTTGTCTAACTCTCTAAATTGGTAGAAATTTGGGCAGCATTTCCCTTAGAAAGGGAGACTTTCCAGATTTATACTAAGTCAGATATGAACTCAGAAAACAACCTGAGTTCAATTTAGACAAGATTTAACTAACTCCTTTGCTTCGCAGAAATTTCGGCAGCACTCCCTCTAAAAAAGTGTTATTCCAAAATTTATATAAGGTTAGGTCCAGAATTTGAAAGTAACTTTGACTTCCCAAACTTCAATTTTGTCTAACTCCCTGAATTACCAAAAATTTGGGCAGCACTTCCTTTATAAAAGGAGACTTCCC